AACACCTATTTTCAAAATGTTGTTAGATAGAATTACCTTGGAATCCCCTTTTAAAATTATTTTTACATGTCGTTTGTGTTCAGTATCTCTTTAGTTAGAAGAGCTTTATTTTTCGGTATTGAGAGGCATCATCAACTTGCAGTGTTCCCCTTCTGGTGTTGGGTCTTACTTCTTGTGTTATCTGTTAAGTAGAAGGTGTTTCCGTGCATATCCGGGCTTTCTACTCTTCAGTAACATAAGCATGGTAAGACCTTACGCCGCAATTTATTACATTAAAATAGTTCACTTTGTATTCAGCTATAGATTTTTTATTCCTTGTAATATGTCAACTTTGTGTGACAAGTGGGTGCAAGAGCAATTGAAGCAGCCATCTTAACTGTCCTTGAATAATTTTCATTTCTACTGTTGCGTTTAATTTTGTTTGTGACCTTATGAACCTTGTGATTAGCATTGTTTTGAACCGGAGCAGTAGGCTCTTTGCGTTCAGAGTAGAATTTAACATCTTTTCAGCCCTTGTATTTTTACCAGTAACTATTTCTTATTTACAAATTCACGAAAACTTTGTAAACAGTTTTCAAATAGCCAGTTTAACCTGCCGTTGTTTTATTGGAGGTATCATATTGAGTGGTATGTGACAGGCATCAAATTGAAGTGTTTCCTTTATGGCATAGGGTCTTGCTTCATGTGTTATCTGTTGAGTAGAAGGTGTTTCCGTGCATATCCGGGCTTTCTACTCTTCAGTAATATAAGAATGGTAAGGCCTTACGCCACATGTGTGTGTCTCTTATTACATTAAAAGTAGCTTACTTTGTATTCAGCTATAGATCTTTTATTTTTTGCAATATGTCATCTATGTGTGAAAATTGGGTGCAAGAGCAACTGAAGTAGCCACCTTAACTTATCTTGAATAAGCTATGCACGATGATTTTTGGTAAAAATATAAATTGAGAACTGCCTGTGAACCGTTGCGATTTATCGAAATCATTACCATCACAAACATTATGGCGATGATCGGCTTATGATGGCGCGCAGATGGTCTGAGCCTGATACTCGGAGGGCAGTCGGCCACAGTTAACGATACAGCATCTAATAACGATAAGCAGCAGACGATCGTTGCCCACACATCGGCGAGGTATCTGGTCGGACTATCGACACTGCATCGAAAAACGATACAACACAGACCATCTTGGCCGGCATTTCGGAGAGATATCTGTTCCGACTATCGACACTGCATCCTAGAACGATACACCACAGACGATATGTGCCTGCATATCAGAGGGATATCTGTTCGAATTATCGACAGTTCATCCTAAGTCGATAC